TCCCTAGAGAATATTGTTTACTTTCGAACTTTTTCTGCCTTTTTTGTTGCAGCTAATCCTGTTCGGCTGGAATCATACACACCGACAGACAATGTAAAAGAAAGTTATGTAAAAGGATGGCCGTCAAAAAGTAAAATAAGAGCCCTCTTTCTCTTCTTTTTTAATGTTGCCTTTTATAGTTCATAATGTATTGAAATAAACCACAAAAGCTCATGTCAATCAAATATGTATTTTTCTTTTTTACTTTGAGATGAACGAATCACACCCAAAGATTGTGAGGCTCGATTTGTCTTCTTTTTATATTTATACACTTAATTAAAATTCTGAATGTAATGTATAATTATATAAACTTAATATAATTATATATACCTAAATTTTAAACCTAACTACAAAAAAAGTTATGTAAAAGGATGTGGTCAAAAAGTTAAATAAGAGCTCTCTTTCTCTTCTTTTTTAATGTTGCCTTTTATAGTTCATAATGTATTGAAATAAACCACAAAAGCTCATGTCAATCAAATATGTATTTTTCTTTTTACTAGCCCTCCAAATTTTTAGGCCCGTCAAACTGTCCTGCCCCACTTAACAAACAGCGACCTGCTCGATGATGCCGAATCGGCCGGTGGATAATCGATGATCGGAAGCGCGATCGCGTGGTAAAAGGCACGGTGCAAACGTATTATCAACGGCGACGCCGTAATTGCGGATCTACATGCTTCTCTTGGGCCCTTCTCTTTCACCCGTCACGAGACCGATCTCTGTGAAAAATGTGTAGCACGCCGGAGAAAGGTTAGCCACACGGCCATTAGACACATACACACACACACACACAAAACAGAGTCAGTCTGTTGCGAACCGATTGCAAAACAAGCGGACGGCCTTTTACAAACGACGCAAAAACTTCTCTCCCCCTCCCCCTTCCCGCGGCATTGCTTCCAATTAGCGGATTAATGACTTTGGCTTTAACGTGATCTCGCACTCTGCCATGGGAAAGCGAAACTCGCCGACGCTGAAACGAAACGCGATCCAGCCACCCTCCTCCGTGGAAAATTGAAAAATTTTTTTTTTTAACTGTCTGGTGATCAAAGTTTTGTTTAAAAGCGAGATATAATATCTCTTGGCAAAGTGAATTCATTGCAAGGTTATTTATAATAGTGTTAAAAGAACGGAGGTTCTCTAATTCTTGAATAAACTTTTTTGCTAATCTTTTCGATCAAATGTGATTCTGAGGCATGATTTTTCTGACACTCAACAATTATTTTGTTATTATTGTTTTACCAATTATGTAAATTTACTTAGTTAATCGTTTCGGCGGTTTTTTCTTTTTTTTTTTTTTTTTCTTATGAAAGATCTACAGCGACGGACAACACAAAGTTGATACTATTTTATAGAGTGGGTCAAATAATTATTGTATATTAGATATTAAAAATATTCAGACATGCACCATGGAAGAACTTTTAAGTATTACATCGTGTGTGTTGTATAAAATATTGTGAAATTTTATTAACACTATTAATATGCGTCATAACAACTTTTAATTATTTTGATGACTATTATAATTACATTTATAAAATTTAATATCAGAAGATTTTATTCTGAAAGAAGCTATATATTAGTAAATGATCAATAAACAGTATAAATAGCTGTCTTATAATACAGCATATAATAAATGTTAAAAATGAATATCAAAACTCATTGATGTAATGAATTTTAAATATTTTTGTGAAACGCATACCTACGTCCATTATAATATCTTATAATTTCTGTATACATTCTTAGATTGTTTCAAACTTGATCAAAATATAAAGTTGCATCTTATTACAGTGTTGTTGAAATTTCAAAATATTTTACAAAACACACCTACATATGTATGCTCGTAAAAAGATCTTATAGATGTTTGAATACTTTTGTGAACAACTGTATGCGCATAAATAAAATTTGTATTGAATATTTTTTTCATATTAAACACTATAGTTTATTCTATAGTTATTTCTAAAGCATACAAATATATCATACATTCATTGTATGTATCACTATCATTTTCGTATTTTGATGCATAAATATTTAAACTGTTCGCAATTTCGAACAACAAACCTGAGTCTATTTTTAAAACTTGAAGCCACAACTTTCAAAATGCATCATTTTATATAATATTATTATAATATTATTATAATATTATTATAATATTATTATAATATTATTATAATATTATAAATTTATAAATTATATATTATAATATTATAAATTTATATATTATATATTATAATATTATAAATTTATATATTATATATTATAATAATTATAATATTTATAATTTATATATTTATATAATATTTGTATATTATAATATTATAAATTTATATATTATATATTATAATAATTACAATAATATTTATATATTATAATAATTATAATAATATTTATAATTTATATATTTATATAATATTTATATATTATAATATTATAATATAATATAAAGTGGAGGCTTATATAATTTTTATGTTACAAAGTGGAGGCTTCATTTTTCAAATCCACCGTGGATCTACTGACAAAAAAATTTTTTCCAATGTCTACATCCAACGATAATTTGTAACATTTTCAAGAAAAAAGAAACGTCTTCATCCGCTGATGCACTTTGAAATAAAATAAATGATTGTGATAATGGAACGAGACAAATGATTTGAAAGCAGAGGCTTCAAGCTTCAAAAGTGAGACGCCACGTTGATTCCTTTTTGCGAAAATTGTCAATTGCGAGCGGGCAGCGTGTAGCGAAAAAACCCAGATGAAGAAAAAGTTAAAACGAAACTGTCAGCGTATTTCGTGCACGAGCGTTCGACTCGAGTTATTCGAATTACGCAAGTGATTCTGAAATACCAGGAAGTCTTACCTGAATGGTATGCACAATCGTATCTGCTATCTGGTTTTCCGAATACGGAATCGGTAATGGCGTGTAATCTCATCGCCGGAATCGCTCGGTTTCAGACTTTCAGCCGAACCGATGGATTACCTTTGCAATCGCCGTAACAACGCTATCAACCGCGACTCCGCGCGCATTATATCATTATTGTCGAGTACTGTTTTGTTTGCCGATGTTTTTCTATTTAACCAGTGCCGGTTCGAAATTGTTAACCGCTCGCGAAAGAGAGAAACATTCTGACCTGTATTCTTTATTCACCGAAGCTTCACGGTCGCGAGTTGTATTTTGTATAAAATTTTTCTAATTTCTAGTTTCTAACTTTTTTTTTTTAGTTAATTTTTTGTAACTCTCTTTCGTAATTTTTCTTTTTAGTTTTCAATTTAGTGACAACGTGTAATATATTTTATTTTTAATAATCTTAACTGTAATTACTTTTAATCCTAATTGTAATTACTTTTAATCTTAATTGTAATTACTTTTAATCTTAATTGTGATTACTTTTAATTTTAATTATAATATATTTTACTTTTAATCTTAATTGAAATTGCTTTTAATTTTAATTGCAATTACTTTTAATCTTAATTATAATTACTTTTAATCTTAACTGTAATATATTTTACTTTTAATCTTAATTTTAATTACTATTAATTTCAATTTTAATTACTTTTAATCTTAATTGTAAAATATTTTACTTTTAATCTTAATTGTAATATATTTTACTTTTATTAATCTTAATGCAATTGCTTTTAATCTTAATTGTAATTACAATTTTGAATTCCTATTTTTTTTCAATTCTTTTGTAGGTTTTTCATACTATATGAATTACTAAAAAAAAAAATATATATATATATAACCATGTGTACAGTTAACTAAAATCTCATTTCTCTTCATTTCAAAGTTCACGTATAAATCAAGGAACGTATAAGAACAAAATTCAATTGAACGGAGATAATTCATGGAACGTTAAGTGAGACTGGTGCTGTACCAAACTTGGCTAGAGTCAATCTACACTAACGTGTACGCATTCCGCGAGAAGTTCGAAGTTACACGTTACCATTCCACTTGAATTTATTACTTCACTTCAGTCGTACTACGCGTGTCAGAAAGCAGTAATAAATAAATCGATGATATTTATGCAGTCTTACATTTCTACGAACGAAATTAAAAGAAAACTTACCCATCCTAACATATTCTATTCAACATTGAAACTCTTTAAATTATGAATATCCTTGACGCTTTTGCATATTCAAATTCTCTATGGATGCATAGATATTCACGTTAAATCTGAAGAACAAACTTTTTACGACGATTTTTATTCGAGTCCCTCGTGTTAACAAGTGAAACGAGTCTTAATAATATAAGAATTAAATTTTCGTGTAATATTTTATAACAGATTGAGAACAGAATTTAGTTGTAAGGAAATTACGATAATATAACTTAGACACTAATTTAATTTACATTTCTTTCAATGGTAAACTAGTTAACGAATAGACTGCGGATTTTTATGCATTTTTAAATTTTTGGAAGCACAAACTGAATAAAGTTAAAAAACAGAATAAATAAAAATCAGAAAGAAAAAAAAAACAGAAAAAGAATAAAGAAATTTGTTCTATCTACAGTGTATCATAACAAATACCTTAGTTCAGATAGCTCTAAATTACTTTAAATTACTTTAAATTAATTCAAAATTATTTTTATACATTTTTGTCAATTATTGTCAATTGTATTATAATTATATATATTATATATAATATAATTATAATATAATATATTATATATAATTATTATTATATTGTACTATAATTATAATATATTACATTATAATTATATTATAATATATATTATTGTAGATTATTTATTCAATTACAAGCATTGTGTACATTTCTACAATTTCCAGTTCTCCACAAGTGTGTAAAAAATCCGCAGTAATTAATAAATCAGGTGCCATTAGTCACTCGTTAATTTAATTGAAACAAATGTTTCCTGTTGTTCGTCAGTTTTCCCTAATTTTCTTACACCACTCGTCAAACTCGAGGGCCTCGATTCAGCGCGGAGAGGTATGGTAGAGATTTCTCGTCGAACTCACTTGAAGTATGAGCGTTTTCAGCTCTTGATCGCTGAGGAACGCCGGCTTGTAATGACCTTCCGTGTATGAGGTAACGGCCCCAAGTATGGTCTTCAAGTGTTGCACAGCCATCCTCAGCACGGTCAACTTGTCGAGTTTGCGGGACATCGCGTGGCACATTGGTACCATCGCTGACAGCTCGGTGATGTAAGTGTTCATCTTGTCCCTTCGTCTCTTCTCGATCTCGCTGTGATTTTGTCTGGAAAACCAGGTGCCAGGCGATTATGAAATTATGTTACGTTGGTACGATCTTCGATGATCGAGCAAATTTCAGAAAAATAGTTCAGCAGTTTGGGAGATAAGATTGGGAATGAAATTACGTTTAATGGAAATTGGACTTATAGTTGGTAGATATTGGATACTCTTAAAATTGTTATTTTTATATTCTATAATAGTTTACTGTTACTGTTCCATTTAATGGGAAATTTATATATATTAATAAAATTTATAAAATATTTATAAAAATATATAAAATTTATAAAATATATTATAGAAGCATAAAATTTATGAAATATATTATAAAAACATATATATATAAAAATATATAAAAATATATAAAAATATATAAAAATATAAAAATACATAAAATTTATTATAAATTGTAAAAATATATAAAATTTATAAAATATTTATAAAAATATATCAAATTTACGAAATATATTATAAAAACATTTAAAATTTATATATATCAATAAAATTTATTTATAAATATTCTTAAGAGAAAAGTAAATAATATTTACAAAGAGAATTATAGAAATTTCACTACGTTAATTACTATAATCAATGATGACCAAGTGAATTACTGTCATCTTCCGTGATACTAACTACTGTTTTAATACATTTGTAAACTTCAGTAATCCACAAAATACTAATCAATCTAATTTAAGGAACCTTGTATCCAATCAACGAAATTAAACGTAAAAATATCCCGAATATTCTGAATTTGATCAAGAATTTTATTCTATATATGACGTCAGTTTGACAGATCGCTGCTGCGATTAAATTTCTCGTTCCTCTCTGCCCGAACGCGAGCCTCCTGTCATCGTCTTCGGAGTGTCGTGACCGGCCTCTCGCGGTGAATCAATTATAAAAGGCGATTCAGCTAATAAACGACGCTTTTGTAAGTGAACACCGGTGATTTGCCTGCCAGGAATTCGCATTCATGTCCCCGTAGCGATCAATTGCCGGGCGGAAATCGCGGCTACGAGAAACCAGTTTCGGTTTACGAACTGGCGGCGCGTTGCTTTCGTTTTGGTGTCACTGGACTATTTAAAAAAAATTGCGTTGGATAGTGCCATGCGGCACGATCCTCGATGTACCAACAGTACCCATAAGCAACGTCGTTTTTTTTCAAATTTAACATTACCATTTAGTGACTTAATAATTTAAATTATTAAATTAGTTAAATACGTTGAAATTTAGTGAAATTTAATAAAAATTTATAATTAGTAAAGTAGAATTTAATAAACATTGCAATCCAGTGACAATAATTTAATTTACTATAACATAATATTCTAGTTAAATTGACTAAATGACATTTAGTGAAATTTAATAAAAATTTACAATCAGTAAAATAGAATTTAATAAACATTGTCATCTAGTGACAATAGTTTAACTTAGTATTAACATAATATTTTAATTAAATACATATATTGACATTTATTGAAATGTAACAAAAATTTGCAATTAGTGAAATAGAATTTATTAAATATTGCCATCTAGTGACAATAGTTTAACTTAGTATTAACGTAATATTCTAGTTAAATATATTGACGTTTAGTGAAATTTAACAAAAATTTACAATTAGTAAAATAGAATTTAATAAACACTGTCATCTAGTGATAATAGTTTAACTTATCGTAGCATAATCTATATTCTAGTTTATTCTATGTTTCTATGCCACTCTGTTCTAGTTTAATGTGTTTATTGTTAAATTATATTATAGACTGAAACTGTATTAACTCTTAAATAATGTAAAACTTTGTACAGTGTCAGCAAACGACATTACTTATGGGTACCACTAATAACTTCGAGAAATGCGAAGCAACGCAATAAAGAAAAAGGAAAAATAAAGTAAAAATATCTATTTATGCACCTGCAGTTTAGGTTTAGGCGCTACAAATCGAAACCGAGCGTATTAATGTACAAGGTGGGCCAAAAGTTTCTTCCCACCTATTTTTTTTTTTTAATAAAACATCAAAACATAAGGAAAAAAATATATAACAAAAGAAATTACGGATTTATCTCGGTAGGATAATGATTTTGGCTCCACCCTGTACATTGAGCATCGCGTCCAAACGCCCATGGCACTATTCGACGCGAAATCTGAACAGCATTTAACCTCTTGCGCTGGAACGCAACGCACGTCGAGAATTTCTTGTCTCAAATTGCAACATTTTCTCAGTTTTAGCTGTATTTAAATGTAATCCAGGCAAAACAAATGATAAGTTTTATTACTTCTTAATAATTTCTATCCAGCGACATCATACCGACGAGTTCAACAGAGAAAGGAAGCGACGAATTATTGTATACGGCTCGGTCACTCGTTATGGTCCGCGAACCACTTGCCAGCGCGAGAAGTTAAAAACGGTTAAGAAATGAGATTTGAAAGTCTGAAGCGACAATCACGTGCTACGTATTTTGATATGATTTTCATCGTTTAATCTGTTACGCAAGCCCGTACGCCCGATTTATGCCGTAACCATAATTGCGGGGGAGAAGGTTAAGTTGCCCGAGGAGACGGTCGAAGTGGTTGAAGATTCAGAAATATCGAAGGAACCCTTTAATTATCCCTTTCTCCATTTCATTTTCAACATAGTTCGTACCATAAACTGAATATTGAATTTATACGCTATATCAATAAAAAGTAATTACGCTATCGTTAATTAAATTATAGTAGTTAAGTTATCGTAACTATAATTGTATAATAATTATATTATAAATAATTAGCAAGTGTATAATGTAAACGAAAAAAATGAGTAAATATATTGTTCTGTCTCGCTGTTGTATAATAGATAGTACATTATTCTTCTATTTTACATTTCGTGCATCGCATTCAAATAAATAACAAAGTTCAATTGAATTAAATGTTCAGTAATTCAATGTTAAAGTCGCTGAATTTAAATTCACCAACAATATATTAATGATATTCGAGTATTCATAATCGCCGAGGAAACAATAAAACTGAACGCACGATCTTAAACTTGGAATTCTAATGAAGCATTTCGAACGACGTGGTCAAGCCCAACTGCGTTATTTTCTGCGATAAATTCATCACGGAGCGAAAAATATTCATCATGGTCGCTTAAATATTCTCAAGGTGGAAAGATAAACTGCGCTGTCACTTTTTTCGCCGTGTTTTTTTTTTTCTTCTTTTTTTTTTAATCTACGTCGACGTACATTGGATTAATGACGTTGCCGATGAAGCCAGAGCAAAGAATCAAGGTAGGTCAAGGTGGCAGTTACCTTGGCAATACCTGACATAATACTACGTAACCGCTGACCAAGATTAAGCTTTAAGCAATAATGCGGTTTCTTGCTACGTTTAAATCAAGTCGAAGCACGTGCATTCATTCTCTCTCTCTCTCTCTCTCTCTCTCTCTCTCTCTCTCTCCTTTCGTTTATCCGTTACATCTTTCGAACGTGCAAACGGAGTGGAAAGCTCGATTTCTTTTCTCTTACATCTATGACCATCGATTAAACCGTCAAGTGTTTTTGCTTTATTTTGAGAATACGCACTGGCGTGTTTAATTATTTCTAGATGATGAGTATACTCGTAAATACGCTCGATGTGAGATTGAGTTGAATTATAACAAAATGATAAATTCCTTTTTTTTTGGTGTTTCTTTGAAAACTTTTTAATTTCATTGGTGTTCACAGAGCTTGACATTTAATTTCTTGAAAATTATTCCATAAAAAATTGAAAATCCGGAGAAAAGAACTTGAATTTTCATCATAATTCATAAAGAGATGTAAAGAATCAAACGTTTGCAAAATTGAAGTAATTAGAGATAAATTTAATTTGTTTTTTGTTTCTTTTTTTTTTTTTGAATTGTATCGATCGCGTCAGATTTCTCCGAACAATTCCCCGTTACTTTCAAGCGCATATTTTCTTTCGTTCGTTTCGTTGCCTCGAAATATTCCTTAAAATTACAAATATATATATATATATAATTCTTTTACTTAATTTTACAATAAATAGAAGCGAATTTTTTTCTACATGACGAGTATACTCGACGTAAACGCTTAAGGGGTTAACAAAAAAATTTGAACACGCGAAAGGAATTATTACGTTCTGTAAATGTTTTCTGTTTCCATCGAATGTCTTTCACAAATGGACTTCTAAATATTATTAATATTTATAAAACAAATAATTATCCGTCGATTATATTGTCGTGTTTTGCTGATCGTATTTATAAAACAATCGGAAATAAATAAACATCCGTTATCCGTGAAAATAATGGTGTAATTAAGACAAATCGAAGGAAGTGTGTGTGTGTGTGTGTGTGTGTGTGTGTGTGTGTGTGTGTGTGTGTGTGTGTGTGTGTGTGTGTGTGTGTGTGTGTG